AACGATGGTTTCAACGTTTTCGTTCTGGTGTAGAGGTGGTCGAAGATGCGCCAAGCTCCGGAAGGCCTGTCGTCGAAAATTGCGATAAAATCGCTGAAATGGTCGAAAGAGACCGGCATAGTAGCAGCCGTAGCATCGGTCAAGAGCATGAGTCATCAAAAAAAATTTTTATGGATATTTGAAAATTCAATAAAAATACCGCAAGAAATACCTCAAGACTTTTTTGACAACCCTGAACGTAGCGTCTGCCAAATGAAGTGAATAGAGAGAGAAAGAGAAACATTGAAGTTCAAACCGAAGCAATACGAAAAGGTTGCAGTCTGTTCCCACGACAGTCGAGTCTACGTAAACGGAACTAACCCGGATTTTTATCTGGCCAAGGATTGTCAACTCGAGAGAGTTCTGCTGGAATTTATGGGAAATCGAACTTAATTTCCTCAATCTTCAAACTAATCGGGATTCAGAAACATTTTTGGGGCCCATCATTTCATTTAGCTAAAAAGTTTCTCAACTGCCTTTGAAAAGATATTTTTCATTTCAAAAAAACATATAAATATAAATATATATAAAGAATGCAGCAGCTATAATCTAACTATGCAAAGTAGTGAATGCAAGAAAACCTAAAAAAAAGTTGTTTAAAATATCTATACACTGCAGAAACACTCGAGGCTCCCCACCGAAAGCGAAGCAAAGCTGCAAAAATACAATAAAAAGTAAGCAGACAATAACAAAAGCAAATTTGCAACAACAAAAAATGCTAAATTAAAAATTCTACAACAAAAAAAAAAAAAAAAAAAAATATGCACAACACTCAACTTAAGCGCTCACCTCAGTGAACTTATTGCATACTTCTATTTGTCTACATCGGCAAAAGGTTCGTTTCTGAAGCGCCCACGTCATCGTCAGTGAGGCAGTGGGACACTGCACTCGCTTTGTGCCACACGACGTCAACTTCGCACTCGAATGCACTGCCAGGGTTGCAAGTATGCGAGGGAAAAAGAAAGAAGAAGCAGACGAAGTAGCGAAAAATGCAAGCATACCCACAGGCGCACCGACGTTCTTATG